CAGACTAACTCCCACCTGGCACCCCATGCTGCTGCCTCTGATAGAGAGGCAGAAGTGCCCAGTGGCAGGGGGTTCCCTGGGAGTGGGGCTGGAGCGCATTGGCTGCCAACCCTGCCCCTGGGGAGTATGGAATAGTCAACTAATCAATAAGAATTCATGAGGTTATTTAACTATTCAATTAACCAATATTTAACATCTCTAATTAAAATTTCAATATCTGTTTTAAACTCATAAACTCAGTTTGTAGGTTCAGTTTCTCTCCCTCTTTCTCTCTATCCCCACTTAGTGATTTTTATTGAATTTTTCTTCTTATAATCAGTCAGGAATAAGTGGTCTGATGTAGTAGTATGCTGATCAGGGCAGAGAACCAGGGCTGTGGTTTATATCAGGTGATGATCTGGTCCTTATGTTACAAAACCTCCTCTTCTGAGAAGTAAACAAGGCATTTCACCATAAAACTTATCACTGAGCCAGCAAATGGGCTAAGCTAGAGAAGGCACAATCAGAAGGTAAGCACAAGTCAATCCAGGCGGGAAAGCAATGCATCTGAAACATGTGTCTGTTGCAAAAAAAAAAAAAAAAAAAAGCGCAAACATCATTCTAGGATGCATTAACAGAGGTGTTGTAAGCAAGACATGAGAAGTCATTCTTCCACTCTACTCGGCACTGATTAGGCTTCAATTGTAGTATTGTGTCCATTTCGGGGCACCACATTTCAAGAAAGATGTGGAGAAATTGGAGAAGGTCCACAAAAGAGCAACAAAAATGATTAAAGGTCTAGAAAACATGACTTACGCGGTCAGACTGAAAGAACTTGGTTTGTTTATTTTGGAAAAGAGAAGACTGAGAGGGGACATGATAGCAGTTTTCAAGTTCCTAAAGGGGTGTTACAAGGGCTGTGTCCAGACTCAGGGTTTTTTTCGAAAAAAGTAGCCTTTTTTCGAAAAAACTTCCCCTGCGTCTAGACTGCAGCCGCGTTCTTTTGAAATTAAATCGAAAGAACGCGGCTTTTCTTTCGATGTCAGTAAACCTCAATTCACGAGGAAGAACGCCTTCTTTCGAAAGTTCCTCTTTGGAAAGAAGGCGTTCTTGAATGTAAACAGGGCTTCTTCGAAAGAGAGCATCCAGACTCACTGGATGCTTTCTTTCGAAAAAGCAAGCCGCTTTTTCGAAAGTTCAACGTGCAGTCTAGACGCTCTCTTTCTAAAGAGGCTTGCAGTCTAGACATAGCCAAGGAGGAGGGAGAAAAAAATGTTCTTCTTGACCTCTGAGGATAGGACAAGAAGCAATGGGCTTAAATTGTAGCAAGGGAGGTTTAGATTGGCCATTAGGAAAAACTTCCTGACTGTCAAGGGGGTTAAACAATGCAACAAATTGCCTAGGGAGATTGTGTAATCTTCATCATGGGAGATATTTAAGAGAAGCATAGACAGACATCTATCAAGGACGAGCTAGATGGTGCTTGGTCCTGCTGTGAGTGCAGGGGACTGGACTTGATGACCTCTCGAGGTCCCTTCCAGTTCTAGCACTCTATGGTTTTATGTCCTGACATATTAAAAGCCCAGAGTCAGGTAGTTTTTGAACCTTGGTTTTCCTGTGTAATGCCTCCATCCCCATATCTTGACACTGTTCCCATCAAAAGGCTAATTCCCATGAACAGCTTCCAAAGGAAATGGGTCAGGGAGGGACTTATTTGCAATGCAAATTCTCAACTTCCCATCTGAAGGCAATGCTTGGAGGTGTAGTGTTGTCCGTACCTGTCTACAGAACGCCCTGGTACAGTGTTGTTCACAGTACATGGGGATGTTACTAGCAGAGCTGCCAAAAACTACGATGTGGGAGAAGAGGAAATAAGATTTATCTAATGACAGCTTGCGTCCCAGAGGCAAGTTACACTGCATGAGTCATTTTTTATGCCTGTTAGAAATTAGAGCAGGTCTACTAAAAGAGGGATCTCATTATGAAGCATGAAGCTGCCATTGGTGCTATATAGAGATATACCTCTTCTCCACCTTCAAAGAGCCTCTTGGCCAGATAGTTTTATAGTTTCTACTCACAGGCGGGTAAATGTGAAGAGCTTTCAAAGCCACGTACAGCATGGACAGCTGTAAAAAACGTGTGCTTTCCTGTCAGATGTAAAAGTCTTTAGAGCAGCGGTTCCCTGCCTTTTCCAGATGGCGACCCATTTTGACAATTCAGGAAGACTCGGTGATGCAGGGCAATTCAAAAAAATGTGTGAATGGCTCCTTAAAAGCCACTTGGGGAGACACCTGGTGACCCTTTTGAAATGCAATAGCGACCCATATTTGGGTCCCGACCCATAGGTTGGGAAACCCTGCTTTAGAGGAAGCTCCTCTGATAACAGAGCTGAATCCTAAGTAATGAGGAATGTGCATGATTTCCAGAGAAGCCACTGGAAGGGGTGAATGCCCATCATCTCTCAGGATTTGACTCCTAATTTGAAGATCTTGGTGGTGCATGCCTTCTTGTAACTTATTTCAGTTTGTTGTAGGGATGTAAAGGGGTAACCAGTTAATCATTAAGCCTGATCCTTACTGCGGGATGCTTACTGGTAACTGGTTAACCAGCCTTCCAGCCAGGCTGGAACAGCTCCCACCTCTAGTGCAGCATAATGGGCCTGGCCCGGTGGGAGCAGCCCCCCACCTGCACTATGGTGTGGTTGGCTCAGCCCAGCTGGAGCAGACCCCACCTGTGGAATGATGCAGCGGGCCCAGCCTGGCCCAAGCAGCCTGCTCCCATGGCATGGCAGCCAGGCCTGCCACATTGCACCATGGGTGGCGTGCTGCTCCACATTTCACCAGTGAAACATAGTATTGAACCAGTTAACTTTTTAAAATGACAGTTCACATCCCTAATTTGTTGTGGACAAATTGCAAAGGAAAGCAGCTCAGAATAGGAAAATTCTAAAAGCGAAATCCTGGCTTGAATGAAGCCCTTCAGTTCTGCTAATGCCAGTAGGGTGAGGATTTCACCTCAAGTGTATTTGTGACTCTATTTTTTGAGCCACACAGTTATGCAATAGTGTTGTTGTAAATGTCTCACATAGCTGTATTCATAGCTCAAGCCAGCACCACCCCAAAACCCATGTACTATTCTGTGAGTTCTGAATCACATCCCAAGACACTGGCTAAGTTAATTAGCTGTGGCAATTAGAGCTTGTTCTTTGGTATACAGAATAATGAAGGGGGTTTGCAAATAAGGGCACAAGGGAGAGTTGATTTGCTAATTTAAAATCACATACAGAATGGCAGAAAGAGGTTACTTGTGGCTTGACCCATCAATTGTTATATTGCAGTGTCCTAAAGAATACCAGCCAAATTCTGATAATGTCTGTACCAGTGTTGGTCTGGATTCACTGGTCTCTCCCATATTCTGACCTCAGTCATGCAAATGTAAATCTAGGATAACTCCACTGAAATCCTCTAGAGTTACCTCAAGTTTATACTAGGATAAATGAGATCAAAGTATTTCCCATTGACCTCAGTGGAGTTATTCCATTTTTACTTCTGTGCACCTGATGTCACAATCTAGCCTTCTGCTAATTAAAAAATGGGGACACGCAAATGCAGACAATTTATGGAGCAAAATATGGGAGAATTTTAATGCCTATTAATGCCTGTGGTATATTGGATCCAAAATCCTTGAAAGATGAAGCTTACAGGAATAATATTGTAAAAGGATGAGTGTCAAAATGCCTCCCTCACTATATAAGGAGAGCACCAGTTGTTAAAAATAAAAAGGAAGTCAAAGTCAAAATGGATTTGAACACTCTGAGCTAACTAAACTCATGGGCTGTGTCTACATTGGCAACCCTTTCCGGAAAAGGGATGCTAATGAGACACATCACAATTGCAAATTCCACGGGGGAATTTTAAATATCCCCCGTGGCATTTGCATTTACATCGCTGCCGCTTTTTTCCGGCTTGGGGATAAGCCGGAGAAAAGCGCCAGTCTAGACGTGATTCTCCGGAAAATAAGCCCTTTTCCGGAGGATCTCTTATTCCTACTTTCAAGGAATAAGGGCTTATTTTCCGGAGAATCACGTCTAGACTGGTATATACATGCAAACACACTTAAGTTGTGGCCCTCAGCATGTGCTGTGAGTATCATTGTGGCCCCTGGAGCTTCCAAAGTTGAGTGGACCTGATCTAGGGTTTTATTTGAAACAACAGTCAGTAAAAAAATCATGTTCCACTACTCCCTACTCTGAAACCTGTAAAGAAATGAAATAAACCCATGAGTTCACTTTGCTAGAAATTCACTTGAACAGAACATGTAGACAATGTTTTTTCCCATAAAGGGGATGAAAAGAAAAGCACACCCACCTTTACTATCTATGCCCAATAATAAGTCCACTGTTGCCACCTTAGACCTCAATGATCGTTTAACAACTACAACTGGAGTTGATTGGAAAAAGTATCTCTATCCCTGGAATATGTCTATCATTTTTGTAACTCTTCTGCCAGGTAGCACCAGCAGCAGCCAAGGCTTGGTTCAATATCAAGGGGCTCCTTTCCATCCATCCAACATAGAATTGGCTCGAGTCCTCACCCAGTAACTTGGGAAATTAATACTACACCCGTGGGTATCTCTGGGAGGCAATGCTTCCCCGCTCACAAGCACAGAATCTGAATGTAGAAAAGAAACCTTTAATAAAAAGGGCAGGAAGTGATGTGGCATTGATTTGGAAAACCCCCACAAACAGAATTAATAGAAAACACCACAGAGTTCCTTACCAAAACCATGAGTAAACATCCCAGCTCAAGTAGGCGGGTCAATGTCCTTTTCCTCTTTGGCTCTCAAGTCCAGCAATGTAGATGTCCCCTTCACATGCCTAACCCTTCTCTGCACCTCACTCAGTCGCTGCCCTTGGTCAGGGCAGACCAGAGCTCAGAGGTGCATCTGCAGAGTTCACCTCCCCTCCTGAGTTGGGCGGGACGGGAGTAGAAGGCATCTCACCAACGCCGCTGATCACTCACCATTCACCTGCTTGCTGCTCTTCAGTGCTGCTCTGCTGGCCATTCGTCACCCCTTGCTGCTGCTGCTCTGCCGGCTGCTCCTCACGCTTCTCCATCCGCTGGCTTGTGGTGGCTTTGGCTCTGGGCCAAACCTAGTGATCTCAGCTCCCAGTGATTTCAGCTAGTGGGCCAAAGCACAGTCTAGCCAAAGAGATTCCAGCATCCACATTTGTATGTACATTTACATACAAAAATAGACCCCTTATGGAGCCTCTCTTTAACTTGCATCTGACGAAGTGGGTCTTTGCCCATGAAAGCTTATGCTCCAATAACTCTGTTTATAAGGTGGCAAAGGACTCCTCGTCACTTTTGCAGATCCAGACCAACACAGCTGTCCCTCTAATACTGGTCACTTTAACTCTATCATTGAGACAGCAGGGAGAAACAGGTTGGACCAGTCTTACAGCTCACAGCTGGAGGGCATGCAGCCTGCTAGCCTGCTCCCCAGCTTAATCTATAGGGGTCTGGAAGAGAGGCCTTTGTCCATCCAAGTGTATTTACAATGACAGTGTCTCTCCTTTTATCTGAGCTAAAAACAGTCTGACTGTTCTGCATTGTGCATTCCCACAATAACTGCAAGTCTTGGTGGTCATATCTCACAATTCTTGCATTTACTGTTAACAGCGTTTGTGGCCCTCCACAACAGCCAAGTTGGTAACAATGGGCAAACACCTTCTAACCGTTGATTATCAAACAGGCCTAAGCAAGCTGAATGAAGTGTATTTACATAACCACACCCAGGAGTCCTTTCCCATTCCAGCCAGCTGCAATGGAAGCATTGATTCAGACCCACCTTACATTTGTTTTATCATCATTTTCGGCAGATAATTGTATTTTAATTGATTTTATTTCAGTTAGTTGGGTATTCAGTTTTCTGATGAAAATTCAATTGTTTTAAGGAAAATAGAAACTTTCCATAAACGATTCTGGTTTTGTTGAAAACCAAAATTTCCACACCCCCCCTAAATAAAATTTAGTTGAAAACATTCCAACCAGCTCTACGCCTTTTCTCATATACCGTGCATGCATCACATACCCAAGGGACATGCCTCAGGATTTATGTCACTTCCTAATTCACCCAAATGCATTTTGAATAGATGAAGGACCAGATTGGGATATTCTTACTCATTTTGAATAGTACCGCATGCCTAAAGGACCACTTTGGGTCTATTCTAGGCATGTGGTATTCACTCTGAATAAGGGCACCAGATTCTGAATCCCTGACCAAGGGGTACTGGAAAATTTTGTATAGAGGATGAGCTAACAGGCAATGAACTAAAAACTTTAAACCCTGTATATAACAGAAATCACTTCAAGCCAAGGTGGTGTATCAGCACCCTCTGTTCCCCTAATTCCAGCGCCTATGTCTCTTTAATTTTTGAAATGACAATATTTATGTTTGAGCAGGTGCACTTGCAACATGAGGAAAACCTGATACTTTAGGGTATCACAAATGTGAGGAAACAGAATTTCCATTTACAAAAGAACCCTTTGTCTCTGTAGGTTTAAAGAAAAATTGATACAATATCACCCTGGGCCTGTGCAGACAAAGTAACAATGCCAAGACAATTGCAAAATTATGCAGGGATAAGACAAATGCACAAAGGAAACATAAACATGGCAAGACAAAGTATTTCTTCCCATTCCAGTGTGTTGTCCTGATTCTGCAAGCAACTCCTTGCAGGGGGGCTGGCCTATAGCAATAATATAAAATCATATGCCCTGATCCTTTCAAGAGATCCATAAATGCAGGCTCTGACTCCTCACAGACACCATGTTAACATTTAACAACTCCTGTTTATTTTTTTCCTAAACTAGAATAAGTTAAAGTTCCCTTGGAACCTTCTGTTTTCTTCTGTCTCCATCACTGTATTAATTCTCGCCAGCTAGCTATTCTTCACATGCCCAGAATTCGTGTTGAGATTCATACCAAAACCAGAATGAAAGCCCATCTCATTACTAAAGAGTAGCTTGTAATATTTGATACCTTATGGACAAAACACCAGTACTAGCAAGCATTTCCCATAGTTTCAGCTATGCAAATTTATACAGATATTGCTGCCTACTTATACAATGCCTCGTCTACACTACAAAAGTTTTGCCAATACAGCTACACCAGCAAAACTGCTCAGTGTAGGTGCAATTATATCAGTGTGTTTTTGCCAGAATAGCTTATCCTGTTTTGGAAAAAGAAAAGCTATATTCCTCTTTGGCCCTAACAATTATAAGAATTTTTTTAGAAGCAACTCTGAGACCAGAATGAATTCCCCCAGTAGCCAAGGACAGTGATGAATTTATGCACAAGCTGAAGCCAGATCTACAATGGTGGAGCAACTTGATGCAAGATATACAACTCCAGATACGGGAATTGCATAGCTGGAGTTGACGTACCTTGCATTGGTTTTCTGTGGTGGCCCCAGAGTGGGAGGTCAATGGGAAAAACTCTCCTCATGACAGCGAAGAGTACCACAGTCAAGGAGGACCCCTTAGCATTCTATTGAGTGGGTCTTTACTAGACCTGCTAAAACAAACCCCAGAAGACTGATTGCTAGAGCATCGATTTTCCGGTAAATGGAGACATGGCCTAAGTAAGCTACATTTTAGGGCCTCAGATTATGAGAGGCCTCTTGTCAGGGCTGATTCCCACTCTGGCATTCCGAGTGCAGAAGGTGGAGGCCTGCAAAGACTTTAAATACCTTGGCCTCTAGGCTCTGCTTACAAAAACCAACCAACCAAAAAAAAAAAACCCACCCTCCACAGAGTCACAGATACACTGTGTCTGTGTATTTGTTTATTTACACTGATAAATAAACAAAATCTGCCACCAATAAGTGATTTATCCCTAAAATCAGGGGGAACACTTGAATTCTCCCCCCAGGAATACTCCAAGCTCTTTTACCACAAGAGAGCTTGAAAAAACAAAGAGAAAAACAAGCTGCAGTCTCTGGTAGCTGACCTTTTAGTCTGAAGCATGCAGACAGACACAGAGGATATGTCTACACTACAAAGTAAGTTCGAACTAACGGACGTTACTTCGAACTAACTTTCATAGGCGCTACACTAGCGCTCCGTTAGTTTGAATTTAATTCGAACTAACGGAGCGCTTAGTTCGAACTAGGTAATCCTCATTCCACGAGGATTAAGCCTAGTTCAAATTTACTAGTTCGAATTAAGGGCTGTGTAGACCCTTAATTCGAACTAGTGGGAGGCTAGCCCTCCCCAGGTTTCCCTGGTGGCCACTCTGGCCAACATCAGGGAAACTCTACTGCCACCCTCCCGGCCCCGGACCCCTTAAAGGGGCACGGGCTGGCTACGATGCCCCTGCCAGGTGCAAGCCTGCCAGCACCCAGCTAGCAGACCCTGCACCTAGCACGGATCGAGCCAGCCACCCAATGCCCCCCAGCCCTCCCCCTCTTCCCGGGACCAGGCTGGGGGGTCCCCGGGGGG